GGGGGGGGGGGCAGATGGGGCTGGTGACCTAGGATTTACTTGATCCTGAGACCCCTAATAATAGCCAATCCCATGTCCTCCCTATCCCCCACCTCTCCTCCAATGCCATTCCCAGTAGGAGCTCCCAGGCCCTGCCTCTTCCCCCAGACTGCAGGACAAGTCTACTTGGGACCACCTACTCCTTACCAATCTCACGGGCTTCAGGGAGCCCACGCTGGGGTCTGATGTACCCCAGGCCTTGGAGGTGGGGTACTCTCCAGGCTCCAGGATGCAGGGAGTGTCTTCAAAGAAGGGCTTGGGGTACAGCAGCCACCTGGGGGAGGCAGAGAGGTGGCTGTACCCCAGACACCCAGGGACACAGATTGATGGATGGGAGGGTAGGTTTAGAGAGGAGAAGGAGGTTTGAGGGGAGAGGACTCTGTCAAGGGGAATCTGGAGGACATTTCAGGCCCCCATAATCTCACGCAGTAGCCACTCCATCAGTGTCCCTTCCTCTGGCCTAGCCCTCTCTCATTTCACACAGCAGCTGGAGAGTTCTTTCTGGTACACAGATCTGCTTAAGGATCCCCAGTAATTTCCTATTAGCCTCACAATACAGTCCAGCTGCACAAAGAGGCCCTTCAGTCTGTCCCCCTCCCTTCCTCCTGGGCCTCACATCTCCCCATTTGCTGCTTTCTCTGACCAGACTGAATTTTCAAAGCTTAGTTCTCTCACCTCTGGGCCTTTGCAGGTATTGTTCCCTCTGCTAGATGTACTCTTTCCCCCCTTCATTCAATTAACAAATATTTAGGGGCATCAACCCCATGCCAGACCCTGCTTTAGGCACGAGGGACACAGTACTGACCTAAACATACACAATCCCTCCCTTAAGGGAGTGTAGATTCTTCTGGGCCAACTCCTCCCAGCTGAGGCATCTCCTCCTCCTGGAAGGGTTCTGTGACCTCAGGCTAATGTGGTGCTCCATGCTCCCCCATCCTGGAACCCTGGATTGCTGCTGTCTGCTTACTTTCCTATCCCCACCAGTAGACTGAGCACTTCTTGAAGACAGGAACTGTATCCTTTCACTTATGTGTTCCCAGCACCCAGCACAGTGAATGTTAAATGAAGGAATTCCAGAACAGCCCAGACTCACAGTCCTGCAGAGACAGTGGCAGATGCCACTTGCAAGGGCCTCTTCAGGCTCTGGGGGTCCTCCAAGGACTTGGTTAGCTTCACTTGCTCCCCCTTGAGACCCTCCTCAGAGTACAGGCTGATCTCTGGGGTAATGTAGCCCTGCAGGAGAGGGGTGGTAAAATTAAGTATGAAAACAGCACTCCTCAGAGACTATCCCCTTCTGCACCTGCTTCCCCAAATCTGCCCAGCCAGGGCTCCCCTGGCTTCTGGGAAACCTTTGTGATTATCTCCCCAGAAGCCAGGAGATCAACTGGGGTGTACTCTTAAGGTTTGCCAGACAGTCCCAAGACCAAAGCCCTTGCTGGTCCCACCCTGAACCTTTGGGATCTGAGACCAAAGTTCTCAGGAGGAGCCTGCCAAGTGCCATGCCCTCCACCTTGCCTCTGGGTAGCCTGACTTCCAGCCTGGTGGACGGATAGGTGGGATGGACAGCTGCTTCCTGAAGTCTAACTCTGACCATTCCTTTATGTACAATTCCTGCCTCTGTCCAGACTGGCTCCACCTGCGCCTCCTCCCAGGAAGCAACAGGCCCTCTCTATGTTCTGGGTGTGTTTTCCTCACCAGGGCCATATTCATTGATTCGCTCCTTCATCAGATGTTTATGAAGCATCTACTGAGTGCCAGGCACTGTGCTAAGGGCACATCCTATCCCATCTCAGTCCTCTCAATGGGAGTTAGTACTCCATTCACAGATTGAAAAGTGAGGCTCAGTGAAGTTAAACAAGCTGCCCAAGGGCACACAGCCTGTAAGTAGTAGGGCCAAGAACAGAGCAGTTTAGTTTTTGTTCACCCAGCACCTTCCATGTGCTTGGAACACACTGTGTCCAGTGCTGAATTAATCAAATGAATCCAGGTCCACCTGACTTCAAAGCCCTTGTTCTTCTCTTGTACCTCATTACCTCCCACACGACTATGAGTTTATTGTGGGAAGATCACAATAAATTGTCCACAAACAGTTGTGTATTTCTGGAGAGGCTTTGAAAACTGTCCTCTCCTTTGCACGGCTGGACCACTGCCCTGGTTAAGAATCGTCAGCTCTCATCCTCTCTTACCAGGCTTGTAACAGCTCTGGACTCAGAGTTATTCCTCCTCTCATTAAAAACAAAACAAAACATCTGATCGGCCCTGCTTTCTCTTCTGGTTCTCCCTAGTGGCCAAGATGGTTTTGTCAAGCTTAATTTTGGTAGTTTGTAAATTGGTGTTATGAAAACAATCTTGTTTTTTCCCCACTTTACAGATATGAAACTATAATATTGACTATGCCTTTTCAAACCATACATCCCTCCCTCAAAATTCAGAAGTGCTCCTCGGCTGGAAATCACAGCCCTTCCTGGTCTTCCCGCCTCTGGGATCCCCATCCAGTCCCTTCTCCTGGCAGGCAGAGGGATGTCTGTAAATCCCTAATCTGATTATATGGTTTTCCCCATATAATCAACCCCACCCTGAGACCCTAGCTTGAGCCTGAGTCCTGCAGGGCAAAGAGCCGATCTCCTCTACCCCCCATTGCCTGGCGCGGTGGCTGGCACACAGCAGACGTTATCAAGCATCCTTGAGCCAATGAATGAACAAATGTCCATGGCACCTTGGGTCTTACTATGGGCCAAAGATCCTGGGCCCTGAGGGTAGGGGAGCATCCATATCCACCCCCACCTGTTTCTGCTGTTCTGGCAGAATCTTTCTCCAGCTCAGACTTCCCCAGGCTGCTTTCCCAAGCTGGGGCTTGCCCTCTGCCTGGCCCCTGATTCCCCAAGTCAGGCTGAGCACGCCCCAGTTAACTCCAAGGTCTGGGATCTATAGGTGAGTCCATAATGAATCCCCTTCTGCCCCCTACCCAGCATGATCTGTCCCAGAGATTCCAACTCTAGGCACCTGAGTCTTTCTCCCTCCTCAGGGCCCAGGGTAGACAGGTCAACATCTGCCTCCCAAACCCCCCACACTCACCCGGACAACCCTCCTCAGGGAGCCAATGCTTTGGATACTCCACGCTGGCCCAGAGGCTCTGAGTTCTACATCTCCTTCAGGCAGGACCAGCTTCCGGCCCTGGAACTCCGGCTCTTCATATAGCACCCAACTGTGGGCACAGAGACCCAGGGTCACTGAGTGGGAGGGGATGTCCGTCCTCTGGGTAGCTGAGGGCGTTTCTGCCAGGTTGGCCTGGGCACTTCTCGCCGTGCTTGCAGTCCCAGGTTCACAGGTAAGCCCGCCCCTCCCCAGGCGCTCTGCACTCACCAGCCTCGAACCACCCTTACGGAGGCCACGTGGGCCCAGCCGGAGGCATCGGCGATGTCATCCCAAACCTCCCTGCTGCTGCCTTGGCAGCCGGGCTCTGAGAAGAGGATCAGCTGGAGAAAATGCAGAGGGGCTCCTCAGGCTCTGTTTCGAGCTCCCGCCTCCTGCTGCCCCCTGCACACACTTGCTTCGCACCCCCTACCTTTCCTGGCCTGGTGTTCAGCTTGCCCCGGGTCTTCGATGCTGGGCTCTGGAATGGAGCAGTGATAAGAAGTCTTATAGGGTTGTCTTCTTACTGCCTCCCCCAACCTGCCATCAGTCATCCCACATCCTCCCTATTGGCTTCCACCCCCACAGAGGGCACCACACTTGTCCCCAACCCACCCTTTCCCAGGAGCTGGGCCCCTATCACTCCCCTTTCCCAGCTTCCAAGAGATTTGTGCCACTAAGCCCTTTGGAATTCACCATGCAAACCTCCTCTGTTCGGACAGGGAGACCAAGGCCGAGAGAGATGTGGCTTGACACAGGGTCACATGGTGCCACACCTCAGGCCCAAACCTCTGCTCTGAAGGCTGCCTCCCAGTACCACGGTCCTCATACCATCCAAACCCTCGCAGTACCTGGTGAGGCCAGGCACCCTCCCCTGCCCACCCAAGGCCTCACTCACCCAGCCCTCAGGGGGCCTGGCACATTCAGGCTTCTCTGGCGGCGACCCTTCGTTGCAGAGCAGGGGCAGCTGTCCTGGCACCTTTCTGAGCCCTGGTGCCCCATGGGGAGGCAGAGCAGATAGTTTTGTGCCTAGTGGTTCCAAGGTAGGGGCCTCCTTGGTGGCAGACACCAAACCACCAAAGAAAAGACTGCCTTCAAGACGGGAAGTGGGCCTCGCGCCCGCCTGCCCCTCTGGCCCTGGCTCTGCGTGGGAGCCCTTGGCATCTGTGACATGTCTCTTCATCATCTCCAGGGGAGAGCAAGAGGCCTGGGGGGGCCTGGCAGGGAGGAAGTCCCAGGAGGGGCTGGGCCCAGCTTTCTCCTGCCTGCGCTGGAGCTTCTCGTCATCACTCAGGTAGGGGTTCTCCAGCTCCTCCTCCTCCCCCGCCTCCTCTCCCAGTGCGGGCACCTCCTGGGGGCTGGGTCCCGGCACCCAAGGCGCCGGCTGGTCCTCCTCGATAGGGGGCAGCGTGGCGTACATGGCCAGGTAGGAGGAGCGGGGGGCCCGTGGCAGCCGGTGAGTGCGGAGGATGTGAGGGGGCTCCATGCTCCTCAGGGTGTCCAGGAAAATCTCCAGGTCAGCCGTCAGGGCCAGCTCCTCCTCATCTCTCGATGGCTCTGGGAGCATCTTGTCTTCCGTGGAGTCGGGGACAAGCTGGGACTCTAGGCTGGCCTCTGCTCCCGTTGGCACTGGGGCAGAGGGGCCTCCTGAGCTGGGGGGTGCCTTGCCCACTGAGGAGGAGGGAGCAGGGAGAACAGCAGGGCCCTGGACCATGTCTTTTTGGGTGGGAGGTGAGATGGGGCTCCCTTCAGAGCCCTGGACAGCCTTATCCTTCTGGGGCGATGGGATAGCAGGAGCTGGCAGGCCTTGAACAGGCTCTTCCTTGGTAAGAGAAGGGCCAAGGCTGCCTTCAATACCCTGGACAACCTCTTTTTGGGTGCTAGGCCTATTTTCCGGGCCCTGGACAACCTTGGCTGGTTTGGGGGACGAGGCAGCAGGAGCACTAGGACCCTGCACAACCTCTTTCTGGGTGGGGGGTGGGTCAGCAAGAACATCAGGGCCCTGCACTACCTCTTTCTGGGGGAGGGAGATGGTAGGGACATTTTCCAAGTCCTGAACAACCGTCTTCCTTGGGGAAGATGGAGCAGAAAGATTTCCTGGGCTGGGGACAGCCTTCCTTCTTGCAGAAGACGGAGGTTCTCCAGGGACTATAACAACCTCACCCCTTACCGTGGGCCTGATGGTGGCAGCAGGAGTATCTGTAAACTCTTCCCTTTTTGCAGAGGGCGGGGCCTGGGGTCCCCTGGGATCAAGAGTGAGCTGGGCCCTGGGGTGAGTGGGCACCACAGGCTGCTCAGGAGGGTGGTCTAGACCCAGGGAGGGGGTTTGGATCTGGAGTCTGGGAGAAGAAGGTACTGGTTCCTCGCCCTGAGAGGAGTGGAGAGGGAGCTGGGTGGGGTTGGAGGCTCCCTGCCCCCTTGGGACCTCATGGGCCCTGGCATCCCGAGCTCGGCCCTGGTCTTGGTATGGGTGGGATGCTAGGACCTCTTGGTTCTGAGGTGGGTGAGCAACCCCTGGGATACCTGCAGGGGCCAGGGCAGATCTGTCTTTTGGCTCTGTTGTCCCCATCTCAGGCAGCTGCCCCAGAGCTGTGTCCACTGTGCTGCCCAGGCCTGGACTCCTTGGCACAGGAGCCACGGGCCTGGGAAGCCGGCTACTTAGCAGTTCCAGGGCCTGACTGCGGCTGGGTGAGCCCTCAGCCCTGTGGCTCACAACCACTGCCCGGACAGCATTGCGACCCCTTGGCAGGGCCTCTCCCGGGAGCGATGGCTCCAAGGTCACGGAGCTGGTCACCCGCCGGTCCACCTTCCCTCCTACCACAACAGTGGTCCGCACAGTGCGTGTCACCCGCCGCTCTTCACGGTTCACACATGGGTGGGGGCTTGGCTCACGGGGCCCAGGAAGGGGCACCAAGAGCTCAGTCCTGGCCATGGCTCCCTGGCTTGGTGGCTCAGTCCTGGGGTCTTGGGAGCTGCCATCACTCTGGTCCACAGCCTCTTTCAGCCTCCCCACCAGCCTTTTCTCTTTGGGGAGCATGTACTTCTTGGAAAAGATGGGCCCATGGCTCTGGAAGCCCTTGGAGCCAGCCCCAGCCCAAGGGCCTTGGTGGTTCACAGTCTCTTCTCCTTTTACAGCAAAGCCATTCACTTCCTCTCCACGGCTGTACTCAACCACCTTCTCCTGGGGGGCCTCCATCGGGGCCTCTGACACCAGGGACACCTTGTGAAAATGATGTCTGATCTCCTGGGCAGGGGGCCGCTGCCGCCATGTCAGTCTGGCACTTACCACTCGGGCCTCAGCCTGAGCTGGGGGCCCACCTGCCTCCTCCATCCTGGGCCCCAGCAACCTGTCCTGAAGTGTCCTTGGTTCACTGTGGCCCAGCTCCCTGCAGATGGTGCCAGAAAGAAGAGAGACAGGGTCAGGGGTGAGAGTGACTCTGTAGTGCAGAATAACTACCTCTGCCAAGGTCAGGTTGGGTAACCTCAGGCAAGTCATTTGATCTTTTGGGCCTCTGTATCGTCATCTGTAAAATGATCATAATACTCTCAGCCCTCTCCCCACTTTCAGGTGATCCCCTTTGCCAGGGTCCTTCCAGGGGTGAAGCTGTGGCCTGAGCCTGGAAGGAAAGGGAAGGGAGAGAGGAGAAAGGCATATGGTCTGACCCACAGTCTAAGGATGGGGCTGGGACTCTGCCCGAGGAGCCCTGGGTCTAGTCCTCTGGGAGCCCCAAACGGGAAAACCAGAAAGCTAAAAACTAGGCAATTGTTCTGACCCTGTTCCTGCCATTATTAGGGACGGGAAAGGAAGATCGACTTTGACCTGAAGCAGAGCTGGGTTTTCCCTGGCTCTGTCACTCACTAGCTAGATGACCTTGGGCAGGCCACTNTGTCACCCGCCGCTCTTCACGGTTCACACATGGGTGGGGGCTTGGCTCACGGGGCCCAGGAAGGGGCACCAAGAGCTCAGTCCTGGCCATGGCTCCCTGGCTTGGTGGCTCAGTCCTGGGGTCTTGGGAGCTGCCATCACTCTGGTCCACAGCCTCTTTCAGCCTCCCCACCAGCCTTTTCTCTTTGGGGAGCATGTACTTCTTGGAAAAGATGGGCCCATGGCTCTGGAAGCCCTTGGAGCCAGCCCCAGCCCAAGGGCCTTGGTGGTTCACAGTCTCTTCTCCTTTTACAGCAAAGCCATTCACTTCCTCTCCACGGCTGTACTCAACCACCTTCTCCTGGGGGGCCTCCATCGGGGCCTCTGACACCAGGGACACCTTGTGAAAATGATGTCTGATCTCCTGGGCAGGGGGCCGCTGCCGCCATGTCAGTCTGGCACTTACCACTCGGGCCTCAGCCTGAGCTGGGGGCCCACCTGCCTCCTCCATCCTGGGCCCCAGCAACCTGTCCTGTGTCCTTGGTTCACTGTGGCCCAGCTCCCTGCAGATGGTGCCAGAAAGAAGAGAGACAGGGTCAGGGGTGAGAGTGACTCTGTAGTGCAGAATAACTACCTCTGCCAAGGTCAGGTTGGGTAACCTCAGGCAAGTCATTTGATCTTTTGGGCCTCTGTATCGTCATCTGTAAAATGATCATAATACTCTCAGCCCTCTCCCCACTTTCAGGTGATCCCCTTTGCCAGGGTCCTTCCAGGGGTGAAGCTGTGGCCTGAGCCTGGAAGGAAAGGGAAGGGAGAGAGGAGAAAGGCATATGGTCTGACCCACAGTCTAAGGATGGGGCTGGGACTCTGCCCGAGGAGCCCTGGGTCTAGTCCTCTGGGAGCCCCAAACGGGAAAACCAGAAAGCTAAAAACTAGGCAATTGTTCTGACCCTGTTCCTGCCATTATTAGGGACGGGAAAGGAAGATCGACTTTGACCTGAAGCAGAGCTGGGTTTTCCCTGGCTCTGTCACTCACTAGCTAGATGACCTTGGGCAGGCCACTCTTCCCCTTAAGGTTAAGGGTTCTAAGCCACAAAACTGTAATATGTGCTTCATAGGGTTATTGTCAGGATGCAATGAGAGAGGAAGAACAAAACCTTGCCTTACAAACTAAAATGCTGGCGCATAAACTTTGTGCTGTGCCTTTGGAGAATTGTGACCAAGCACTAGCAGGTATGCACATGTGTGTACTAGCACCAGCATGTGGTGGGACTGTCAGAGCACAGGTGCCCATCTGGACACATCTGTGGGTCTTAATGAAGCTCTTCAGGACCCAGCACTTCGGACTTGAATGCACTTTCCCTCAATTTTCTCCTCTATGATCATTTCCCCATTGTACAGATGAAGAAACCAAGGGTTAGAGAAGAGGAGTCACTGGCCCAGGGTGATGCACCTGCCAAATTGCAAGCTGGGGTTTGAAGTGATATCTGAATCCAGGTCCAGGCATCTTCCCTCCTGTCCCCGAGGCCAAGGCTCTGAGCACATCCTGCTATTCCTATGGTCCTCTCCAGCAGAGCACACCTTACCTCCACTCTTTTAAGGAATGGAGCCTGGGTCTTATTTCTTTCCTGACCCTCCTTGATCTCTCTGGGTCTCCATTACCTCCTTTACGAAATAGGAGATGATAATAGCAACTGTCTGAGAAGACCTCTAAGCGCCCTAGAAACTCTCCAGTGAACCTGTTTTAATAGTAACAACAACCACCGCCACCATCTGTTGAGGACTTGCTCTGTGCCAAACACCTTGCTAACTCTTTTATGTTCATTGTCCTATGGAATCTTCAAAAGAATCCCATGCATTTGATAGCTCATAAAGAATAAAGTATTAATAAATTATACACAAACATTCCCATTTTGCAGGTTGGGGGGGAGGCCCAGAGAGGTTAAGAAACTTGCCCAGAGGCAAGACTTGAACGCCAGCCCTAGGAGCTTAACCACCAGACCAAACTCTCTAATGTATTTACCTGGTAAATGGAGACTTGATGGTTTGGAGGTGTGCTTTTAAAGGGGGGTCACAGCAGTCCTGGAGGGGACATCCAGCCCCCACTCTGACTTCCAAGTCACACTGACCAGGGCAATTCTATTCGCAGGCCCCAAGGACCCATGAAGTCAACCTGTTCGTCCCCAGCCTACGTTCGGGTCTGTCCCTCGGATCCATTAGGCAGCCCCTAGACCACTATAAAGGAAGTTCAGGCCAGACGTGGATCCATGCCTCCAATTGCCCTCCCCCATCTCTACCTTCCTCTCTCCTAAGCTGGTGGAAACCAGAACTTTGACCCTGCCCTGTGGCCCCAGCAGTGACTCAGGTTTTATGAGGGGCAGAGATGAAAGGGGCTGAGGCCCGGGGAAGCCTGACCTGATTCGGGGACCACTGAAGGCTATGACAGCATGCAGCCTGGCCCAGGACAGGGTCTGAGTGGCCCCAGGAAAGCCTTGTATATAGGGAAGGTGGGGGACTGAGATGAAGCCCCAATCCTTTCCCCAGGCCAGAATTCCTGAGTGTAGGACACAATCGGACACCTGAGGCCCTGCCCCTCTCCCCTGCCCTCCCTAAGGGGCCCCCTTTCTTCTCTCAGAACCCCTGTTCTCCTTGCTGGGATTTCCCCCACATGGAGCTTCACCCCATCACTGAGCCCCCCTGAGTCTCCTCTTTATTTCCCAATAACAATAAGAGCAACTACCATTTGCTGAGATTCCCTGTCCCTAATGGCATTAACAGTAAGGGGCAAAGCCTGGGTTCTAAGTCATTTATTCAATCACTCACTCATTCACTTATTCATTCACTCAATGCTAATTGTGTTAGGTGATGCCCTAGTCCCTGATTATATTCACCTAAAGCCAACTTTCCCATGAAGATGGTATCTAGGAGTCCAAGGGTCAAAGAATTAGACATATAAACAGGAGCCACATTTGGAAGGCCCCATGGGCTTTGACAGAGTAACAGGAAAGCAGCTTCAAGGGAAGCCATTGATAATCAAATTAGATATTTTCAGTGACCTCCCAACAATCAGAATGTAGTACCTCTCTCAACTCAACCCAACCCCCCGGACAACACCCCTGATAGTCATTCATTCCACAAGCATGTGGTCACTGGCTTCTGCTTGCATACCTCTAGGGACAGAAAGGTCACCATTTGACAGTTGATTTGACTGATCCCTGAACAGTCATGACTGCTAGAATGTTCTTCAAACTATGCTGGAGTCTGCCTGCCTATATTTCCCCATTTTTGTCCTTGCTCTGAAGACACACCCCAATGACCCAGGATATATTCCTAGGCCAGGAGAAGTGTCCATTCCCAGAGCCCTCTCTTCTCCAGGGCCCCATATCAGAAGTGAATTTGTTGGTAGGTAACCTGTGACCTCCAAACAAGGTCTGTGGGGCTGGGAAGGGAGAGGCTGAGGAAGGGGTGGGGGGAGTGTGGGAAAGAGCCTTGTCTAACTCAACAAGTCCTGGATTCTCCCCGCTTACCTGTGAGTCACCCCCAAACTAGGCCAAACCAGTCTGCAGCCCCACATGCCCACAAACACATGCTGCGTCACACCGGCACACACTGTCACAGACAGAAACCAGCACAGACCCACACTGTAGCACAGGCACAAAAACACAGACACTTATGTTGACTTGCACAGTCAGATACACAAACACACGGAGTCAGAGGTACCCTCAGAAACACAGCAACACACAAGTCACAGACACACAGAAACACACAGACACACTGACACAAGCACACATTCATCATACACGCACAGTCAATTCACAGCCCCAAGCCCTCCTCCCTTGAAATTTGCCTACTCTCGAACACACACACCCTTGAATGCATGCACATTCCCACTTGCAGACCCAGCCGCGGCCTCCTCCCCGCCCCCTATATTTGCCAATCCTGACCCAGAGACCCTGGGGACATAGGATGATGCCCCTGGAGGTGCGCTTCCTCCCCTCTAAGTGAACCCTAGCCTCCCAGTCTGTCATTATCCACCTGGGCCCAAAATAGCCAGGGAGTGGCAGGTACAGCCCCAGCACCCCCAGCTACAGCTGCTGCTGCTTCTGCCCTCCCTCCAAGGCCCTTCTCCTCCACACCTTCCCTCTCCCCGCAGCCCTTCTCGCCCAGCTGAGGCGCCCGAGCAGGTCTCTGCGCCAGCCGAGGTCCCACATCCCCCCTTTCCTTGCCACAGGACCAGGTGCCCTGGCTCCTGCCCAGAGTCCTGGGCATCCCTGAGGTTCTTTCTGCTGGCACAGCGCCACCAAATCCACCTCCATAGGGTCAGAGGAAACCCTGGAGTCCGCGTAGCAACCATGGTCAACCCTCCACTATCTGCAAAGGGCCAACGAGGCCTCCGCAAGAGGCAGGATAGAGAAGTGGTTAGAGTACAGGCAACTACATTCAAATTCTGGCCCCTTCACTTTCTG